GAAAAAGTCAGAATTCTGAGACTCAAGTCAGAGTTCTGAGAAAAAAAACAACAGAATTCTGAGATGAAGTCCGAATTCTGACTTTTTCCCCCATATTAATCTGAAATAATATGTAAAAATCAGTTTAACTTTTTTTTCAGTGGCACTAATTCTCTTCCATACACTTCTGTTACTCTCTCTAAGAAAGCAGTGAACAGTTTTCTACTAAAGATAAAGCACAATACAAGGGTTGAATATTAATTAATAAGCAAAACAAATCAAAGTACAAAGAAATGCTAGGAGAAAATCCACTTTAAAACATTTCTATATACTATCTCAATCATTTGAAACCTCAATTACAGGGAAGTAAGAAATACACACACAAACACTTGTTCATAGTTGTGTCATAAAAATAATAGGTTTGATAAAAAAAAATAAAAGTTAGAAGGATCTAAATATGCTGATGCAAATCATATTTTAGGCCCCGTTTTTGATCCATGTAATTAAGAGGCACTGAGAAGTCTCCTTGCGATTATGTGACCAACAGATGGTTTATCATCAACTGACTGTATACACAGCTGATCAATAACAGCTCTACAACATTAACAGATCCGCTAACCGGCTAATATACTGCTATTATATAATAATAATAGTCTGAATTCTGTTTAGTTCAAACTTACTGAAAAAAAACACAAACATGGGGAATTTGTAGCAGTGATTTACTGTCTCCCATCTCTGTTTACCCAGAAAGAAAAGGAGCTAACGCTAGCTACTGTTAGCTCAACTAAGCACTTACCGTGGTCCGCTGAAACAGCCGCCATTTTTAGATCCAATAAGGGAGCAGAGAGGAAGACCAACTGGTTTCCTGCGACGGTTGATACACACTGCCCGTTAAATGTATCGAGAACCAAAGAGAGATACTACTTAGATCCACAGACGGTCCGTGGATTTGTGGACGACTGGCCTCCCCTCACGACGACACGAAAAAGCCGACAGACGTAAGAAAACTTCCGGTGAGGACACTTCATAATAAAAGCACGTCAACAGCTTTTGGAAGTAGAGACAGAGGCAAGAACATATTTTTATTATTATATATCTTTACATAATTTATTGTATATAAAAAACACCTACATAACATACAAATATATATATGCATGTAGAAATCAATGACAAATATCTATCAAACTACATCTTTAGGCAAAATATGAATTGAATACAGTTTTAAATTGCACCAAAACAAACAGGGATACTGATGCAAATGCAATGTAAATAAAAAAAAATGACATAGGTTTCTTAAGCATATTAAAGTTTTTAAAGTTTCTTTGTTTCCTAGAACTATTCATTTAGAACCTCAAACATATTTTCTTGCCAGTGATTACGATCCCTAAGAAACTTATTTAGTATTTAAGAGTTTTTTTTTTTTTTTCAGAGCTCTTCAAAGATCCTAAAGCATCACTATATCTTTAGAAGCTGGCAATTAATCTGCATGAATCTTTCAGGATTTTTAGTATGTAAAAGTGCTGTGAGTTTGCCAAAATTCTCCAGGAGCCCACATTAAGAATCACCACCTCCTCCTACCGACCTCTGATGTTTACTCATCTGAAGCTTGGGTCCTCTACCAGAGGCCTGGAAGCTTAAAGCTCATCGCAGTATCTTAGCTATCTGTAGAACTGCATATTTCTCGACTGAGATGTCTGACGTTTCTCCAGGTATCTGTTGTAGCCACTTTTCCAGTGTGGAGAGGTTACTGCCTCAGTGCTCCAATGATCATGAGCACTACAGCCTCTTTCACCTTCCAGCATCTTTCTAGTTATTTCCTGAGTCCTTGTTCTTGATCCAATTTCTAATGTTCTTTGTTCTTTTTTTAGAATCAGTTTGACGTGAAAAGTATTTAGGAAAAACATTATCTGTCTAACTAATTCCAGACAGTGGAATCAAGTAACTGACTTTGCAGCAGTCTGTGGGGATCAGAATCAGAATCAGAAATACTTTAATAATCCCAGAGGGAAATTACTTTTGTTACACGCTCCAGTTACAGTTTTATATGTATATACACACATCCAACAACACAAGATTAATAAAGATAAAAATAAAAAATAAAAAAAGAGATAACATATTTATACATATAGCTCTTCTGTATATATATCTATGTATGTATATATATGCATATGTAAAAACTACATCCAAGTAAAAACCAAATCCAAGTAGCCAGTAGGGATATGGAAGAGTTTGGCTGAACACTAAACATTTATTATGAAAGGGAATCATTGTCACTTCCTCTAGTCTACATGCCCAGGTGGAAACGTTAGTGTTGGCGGAAGTCAGTTGATCCACAGCGCCATCTAAAGGGCTGAGAATCACACCTTGACAAACATATGAGTCATAATCACAATCATAAATAAATGTTCCTCTTTAATCCAGAGAAACTTAATCTCGGCTGAACATAAAAAAAAAAATATTTACATTTTATTTTTGAAATATAAGGTTCACATAAATATGAAACCAAAAAGCACGAGCTCAAATTAAAACAAAGTTTATTTCTAGAAAAGCTAACATTTCTGCTTGTAGTTTTTTAGTAGTTGTTAAAGTTATTGTTCAGATGCTGTGAAGGAAGAAATGTGAACATCTTGATCGCCGAGGGCAACGGCACACCTGGCCAGGTGGAGTCTTTTGTCTTCTCCACCAACTCTGGCCCCAACAGAACTTGTCAAGGTTACACTGAGAGAGGAGGAAAAAAAGAGACACAGCAGAGTCATAGAGGGTAGTTATGGATGGATGGATGGATGGATGGATGGATGGATGGATGGATGGATGGATGGATGGATGGATGGATGGATGGATGGATGACTAGCTAATTAGCTGCTGCTGAAGGTGCAGAGATGGAAGCTCAGAAGGGTCAAAGCCTTCAGTGTTGCTGCTCCCAGAATATGGAATCATCTCCCTTGGCTTTTGGGTCAACGCAAAATCTTCTTTTTGCACTTTTTATTTTTTATTGTAATTTATTTTTTACTGTCTGTTCATATTCATTTTTCCCTGTTTCCTGTACTAAGTTTGTCTTTGCTTTACACCTGCAGAGCTTTGCTGTAACTGTGGTTGCTCTAAATTACTATATAATTAGATAGATAAAGTGAGTAAGTTTTCAAAATGTTGTAGTAATTCAAAGATATATATGCCATAGTAGATATTCATCCTGTATTTCACTGCAGTCCTTTCTATTGCTGTTAAAATTACCTGTAGTCTCAACAGTCCAACAATAGATGTTTTGGAAACTCAGAACTTAAAACTTGCTTTCAAAGGAAAAAAGAAAAAACAATTTTTTTAGCATCAGAAAACCAACCTATTTCAAAGAATCCAAAACCCTGCTGGGTCTATTGCTTTGCCTCCCAGTGAATCAGCCTAGTAAGTCTCTGGAGCCGCGGTTCTTCTTGAAATCTTAGCACCTGAGTTCTTACCATGTGTAATATGCTTCTCCCACAAATTATTTTTAGCATCATATATAGCATCTCTGCAACGGAGAGTATTTGTTCCCCCGATAACAACAGTCGATCTCTGCTGTTGTTCTCTAACACTGAAAAAAACATTTTTTCTGTCAACCTCCTCTTACCATCAAGCTCACTCCGCATCAAGGCAAAATAAACTCAGGTCCAATGCGGGCCTTTCATCAGTAAAACATTAGAGCTTTGACTGATGAGTTACACCTGTAGTGTGATTCCATTTATAAAAAATAGAGAGCTTATTCACAGCAACTATCATTTAAAGGAATGCCTTCATTTTAACACATCTACCCATCTTAATAAATTCACTCAAGGAAGTGTTGGATGTGTAAATTTACTCCTTTGCAATTTATAATTAATTTACCGGTATGTAAAGGTTTTTAAACATTTGTGAAAAATGTCTGTATGATCATTTTCAAGAAAAAAATGTATTTTAAACAGGAATTAGTAAAAATATGTAAATAAAAAAAAAAAAAAAACACTATAAAAAATCTCTGTGCTCTGTCAGCGTGATGATATTTACCACTATAGTGACTCTGCGTCTTTTCAGGCGTCGACAGATTCCAGGAAGCCGCATGAAGCCGTGCTCCTTTAGAGAGGTGATAGTGTTTGATTCAGAATTTGCAGAAACCTTCTCCTAAAAGAGAGCAAAAGGGTGGTTTACACTGTGTCTGATTATAGAAACAAAATATGTGCTTTAAATGTAGATTTCCAAGTAACAAAGCAGGAGGATTCAATGGATGTAAAACAAAAGGAATTGGAAGCCGACCTTCTGAAAGGTCAGTTTTAAACACAAATACAAGGATGTATATTTAGTTCACAGATATGCCTTGTGTTAGTTCTGTGAATCATATATGTTACAACACATTTAAAAAGACTGTAGCTATCATTTGTTTTTGGTTAAATATCTCTGTGCCCCTGCATTGTTTTTGTCACCTTAAAGAAGCCAGTGTGAGAATGCTCCATAGAAGAGAGTGTTTAAAAAGAAGGATCTGATTTTAAATAGGCCCAAATTAAAAAAACCTACTGGGCAGATTTAAAGCCAGACACACATCTATCCCTTGGGGCTCTTTTATAGATTTCCAGAATAAACACAGACGGTCATATGTCTCATGAATCCTCCATTTAAGCAGTTTTTTCTACAAATACTGTCCATATTTTGCATCTCAGGATAAGAATCTCCTAGAAATGTGCTTCAAGTCCAACCTGAGGCCTCATGACCTACATTATCACCAAACAGGACATTCCTAAAACAAACATCTGACCTTTTTATGTTAAACAACCAAATGCACGTCTTTCTGCACCATCCTCTATGTTTTTTGATTTCCTGAGCTCACGCCTATCCTACCTGCAGAGCTGCTGTGGCGGGAGTGAAGACGGGCAGGCTGCAGTCAACCCTTCGCAGAGGGCTGAGCAGCAGCAGAAACAGAGCACAAGCATTCAGCTTCATCTGTTGATCATCCACTGATTCGCTGCCGATCATCTGTGAACCGATAAGTCAAAAAGCCTTTTGACCGTCCGGGTCCCTCTGCTTCTCCTTATAAAAGCAAACAGGCTGAATGATAAAAACAGAACATAAATATGACAGAAGGGAAAACAGAATAATCCTCTTAGCCTAGTTTACAAGCCATGTGATCAGATGATGACATCACTCTGATCCCCTACCAAAAACTACTGACAGATCAGAGATAACCTGTTTCCACCCCTTTATTAGGATTTTATCTTTTAGACCAGGGGTCTTCAACCCTTACAATCTAAAGAGACGTTTTTGACTGCTGCGAAAATAACTCTTTTACATTATATTACTTTTTTTGTTAACATAGATCTTTCCTTTTTAAATAACCACAGTGCCATTTCTAACTTTAGGTGAAAATAAAGGGAAAACACTTGCTAAAATATAATAATAATTTTTTTTACATTTTATTTGGTATTGTTATTCAAGAATATTTTATAGAATTTTGTAAATTGAGAAGAAAAAAAATACTTCATTGTTGCTAATTAAACACTTTCAGGACGTCATAGCACAGCAATTTATTTATATAGCACAACTCAGCACAAAGACATTTCAATGTCATTTACATGAATTAAAAAATTAAATAGAAGAAGAATAAAGGCAAGTAAATATAAAAGCAGCTATTAAAGCAAATTAAACTGTCATAAAACAGGATAGATGGACCCAGTATTCAGGCGAGTCAGACAGTGGGAAGTTTCAAAAAGTTTAATGAAACCAATCCAGGACAGGGGAAAAGTTCAGAACAGCACCATTCTGAGATCCAGGAGTCAGTAGCCCAGTTAGGGGTTCCGATCCAAACAGGAACAGATAGATCCAGGGTTCCAGGAATCCACAAACCGTTCAAGCAGGTTCAGAGTTCCAAATGAGTCCAACAGCGAACTCAGTCAGGCACGCTCAGAGGGAGACAGGCGGGCTTAGTGGTAGAGATAAGACATGGTACCAGGATAACTGCAGAACTTTAAACTGTACTCCATCTAGGAGCCAGGATCAAGGGAATTAAAACCTCCTGCCCCCACACTCTGAGCCAAAACCAGGACGGCTCCAAGGATCATGATCATGAGACAGGAGACAAACACTAACAACCTCCCGACACACAGGCCCCCAAGAGTCAGGACAGGAACCAGGGACTTAACTAAACTCAAAAACCAACAAACAAATGACTACATGAAAAACTACAAATAATGATCTGGCCCTGATAGCTGGGCTGAAAATGAGTGATAATTGGAGAGCGAGGAGGGAAGGCTGAAATCGTGACAAAAAAACAGTTGGAACACAAACGTCAACTAATGATACCTCAGCTTACAGTTTAACTACAACAGTCAAATGCATTTCTAAAAAAATGTTTTTTTTAACTTTGACCTTAAAATCGAACTTAAAAATTCAACTGAACTTTTAAAAAAAAGGAAAAAGAACACTTTAAATTTAACAAATATCTACAACAGGTTGCTGATATATTCACAGTTATGTTAGAAAAAAAAATGCCCACTTTAAAAAAAAGAACATAAAATAAATATTTCTTACATTCACAGTCAATTTATTTTGTGAATTGAAACCAAAATTGATTTCTTTAGAGATGCAAACATCACAAGAGATTTTTTTTAAAGGAAAAAACTTATATATAATAAATATTTACAACAGGTGGCTAATATTGTTTTAAAAAATCCATCTTAAAATGTATAAAAATATTTAATGTATAAAATATGCATTTGTTAGAATATCTATTATTTAAAAAGCTACCTTGCTCTTCATCATTTTTAGCTAAGGAGATGAGATGAAGTTACTTAAGAGCTACTTGAGTCTCCAGAGCCACAGGTTGCAGGCCCCAGCTTTAGACCAACACAGAATGCTGTATAACTGTGTAGTGGAAGAAATATCATATATAATTATTTAATGTTCTTTTTTCAATTAAAAATCTAATTTATCCCCAATTCTAGAGAAATAATTTGGCTTTAAAAAAACCTACCAAGACAATGTAATTTACCAAAGCTGACAGACTGGGCAAACAGAGTATTCATGGGAGAAAAAACTAAGATGCCTGCACAAATAGAAATAAGAAATAATCTCCTGTGAACTTTTAAATCAAAGAGTCTGGTGTTTATGGAAATGAAGAGAAAAATCCATAAGAGGCAGACATTATTGATGCAGGTAACACAGAAAACATGCAGCAGAAGAAGCTCTGTCCAGATGTGACCAAACATCAAACACTCATCCAAGAAACACCAATCAACATCGAAACAGGAGTTGGCAGCATCATGCTGTGGGGGATGCTTCAAGGCGGAGGGCAATTATCAACTATAATTCTTTCGATCATTCATCTCCAAAGTAAATTCAAGTGTGGTCCTTGATTACCAAGTAATGATTGAGTCCACTCTGGTACCATTTTATGGGTCAGAAGTTGAAAAGTTTCCAAACCTCTGCTGTAGATCATAGTGTGTTAACGTGTTGGAGCCAAATCCCAAATTAAATCTAACCTAGAATGTGTTGAGTGTTATAGTTCAAACACTGCATTGCCTCTAAAACTCATATCTGAAAATGGGACAGATAAAAACAGCTTAAACCTCTCTGCCTGGAAAAATTATTCAAACAAATGTTTTACCCCTTTAGACCCAGACAAACATGTTGTTGCACGGCAGGAACACTTAATACGCAGCAGGCATGGAATCAAAGTGGAAATTTAAACACTAAATCTAGAGAAAAATAAAAAGATATCCCAGCACTGATATTTTAAGCCCACCTCATTATTAACAAGCACATTTTTCTCTTGGAGGAGGCAGAAAATCTAGTACCACAGGATAAAAGATGAAAACTTGATGCAAAAAGAATTATTCTGGGATTCAAACCCAATACTTTTTTATTGAGAGAGACCATTGGAAACGACTGTGTCCCATATTAGAATAATAGTAGTAATGATAATAGTAGAGCTGGTGTATTATTGATAATATGCACCAGGTGGTGCTATTATCAGTCTAATGTATCTATGAAGTTATTAATCTGTTGTCTAGTTATTTTAAGTTTTATAGTAAGTAAATAATATTTGCTGCATGAAAAACAATATAGTGTGTAATACTAAATTATAATAAACATACTCATATTATGTTTTATTTATAAAAAAACATATTGTATCATATAAATTTTGATGACATATAAATTACTCTCTGTTTATACTATAATATTATACTATAAATTCAAATTTGTTTTATGTTTTCTGATCCTGTTCTTATTTCTTATCCAGAGGCGTAGAGAGAATATTTTTAGGGTGGCCAGGCACCAACCAATGTACACTGAGGGGTGGCCGAAAGTGGATAGGCGCCAGAACCTCAGGGTAAATCTACACTGTTCCAACAGAAAAATTAACGATCACAACATCCATATTCACTAAATAAAGACTAACCATACTTTCCAGCAGAGTTTCCTAAAAAAAAAAAATAGACGCATATATTTCAACATCCGTGCTTTCTAGATTAAAAGTATAGTGGAAACAATTCTTTCAGGTTTGAGTTCTGAGGCGAATATCTTTTCCATTGTCATTACTTACCTACTTTTATCAATAATCATTATGCATAAAATTGATTACAACTACTAATCTCTACATAAATTGATTATTTAATACATTTTTACTAAAACATTTATTTATCTATTATTTCCCTGAAGACTTCTAGATGACTTGCAGAGACATATTATTTTCTCTTTACCCCATATAATGCAAAATCTAGTTCTGAAAAGGGCATGAATTCTGTACTTATCATCTTTAATATAAGTACATTAATGTACATAATTAACAAAAGTGTTTTTGTTGTCAAGTAATTGTTAATGTATGAAAAGTTAAAATGTTTTGAATATTCCACTGGAGCAATGGCGTAACGACACAACAATAGGCCCATAAACAACATTATCTTGGTGGGCCCCATATGAAGTACAACACCCCCCACCGCCGCCGTAGTCAACCAAGCCGAAATCTGCCTCATACATACACACTTCATCATTTCATCATACCTCACCTTCACTAGACATGGATAAACTTTAGTATATTCTGCTGTAAAATGAGTCTCTCAATTCATCTACTGGTCGCAACCTTTACTCACTGTAGTAGCAACATCCACCTCTCCCTCTTCGGTTCTTTGAAAGAACCGAAGAGGGAGAAGTTTTATTGTCAAGTTTTTTATTTTGGGAAGTTTTTTCCGCTCTCTTTTTTGCTATCCGTCGTCGCTTATGTTATGGTTTTAATCTATGCTCTGGATTACCCATAATTCCAAGTCGTATTGTAAAAAATAAAATACTCAAATATATCTTTCTTTTAAGATCTTTATTGCGGTTTGAAACATATTATATGAGTGTATTTTTGACAAACAGTCTAATGAACTATACACAGTTATTAACATAGTAATTAAAAGTAACACTGTCTGCTTGCTATTGGTGTTGCATTTAAACGGCTCACCATCCTGTTGAAATCTGCCATGTGCTGGGGTATAAATACGGTCCGGTCAGTCAGTCTAGTAACAGTTGGGTTAAAGGCAAATTTTTCGCACCATTGCATTTGCAAAGAGACGTCTTAGTCCACAATTGCATAGGGGGCCCCAAAGCAAGAAATATCATTTTCTCTTTACCCCATCATAACAGAAAATCTAGTTCTGAAAAGAGCATGAATTCGGTACTTATCATTTTTAATATAAGTACATTGATGTGCATAATTCACAACAGTGTTTTTGTTGTCAAGTAATACAAATTTAAATGTTTTGAATATTCCAATTGAGAGTATTACTGCTGCCACCATCTGTATTAGAAAGGAAAAAATAGTAGGGGTGGCCAATGATTGGCTAAGGGGGGGCCAGTGGGGGCCATGGCCCCCATCTAGCTCCGCCCCTGATAAGAATCTTATCAGAACATTTCTGATTATTTTTCAGAAGATAAGCCTATTCGAGTTAAATCTTATTTTCATCACTATATAGTGGATCTTAAATGCTTCCAGGCCAGGCGTGAGGGAAGCAGCCATTTATAGCTAATTGATTGATTGACTGCTGAGAGGTTTCGGTTGTATTTCTATCTTTGGCTGCAGGTCTATGTTTAGCCTCTGAAGAACTCCCTCCACCCCCGCACCGCGCCACCACCGCCCACCCGCCGACGGCCAGCTGATCTTTGTCGCACGTAAGCGCCGTCGTGTCGTGGCCCCGCCCCGCTTCCTATGGAGGATTTATTTATTTTCTCCTCCGTCTCCTCCTCCTCTGCCGCCGCCGCCGCTGCGTCCATTATCACCGAGACGAAACCAGGAATCCTCGGCGAAGCAAAGCGACGACCGCAGGCCGAGCTGACCGACTCGGAGTGAAGGATGAGAGCCGAGCGCGGGGCGCAGAGCCGACCGGAGCCGCCGCTGAGCACCGGAGGAGGCAACATGGACAGGGACTAAACAGGCAGGAGGACTCCGCTGCGCCTGTCGGTAAGCGATGGATGGATGGATGGATGGATGGATGGATGGATGGATGGATGGATGGATGGATGGATGGATGGACGAACAGGTGGTCTGATGGCGGATGAGGCTGCATCTACAGAGCTGCACGGAAACGCACCTGGAAGAAATAAAATGAGCGCTCTGCGGCTCTGCAGCCTGCATCATCAACATCATCATCGTCATCATGATTTACTGACGGTACTGACGGCCCTCCGCGCTCAAACGGACCGACTCATGACACCGTCCTCCTTGTCTTGCAGCGGCTCGCGGTCGGGATGTCTGGAGCGGCCGGGCTCGCGCCGCCCACCGGGGCCGGACCGGAGCTGCCGGACCTGAGCCATCTGACCGAGGAGGAGCGGAGGATCATCCTCTCCGTGATGGAGCGACAGAAGAAAGAGGAGGAGAAGGAGCAGAGCATGCTGAAGTGAGAGGGATTTCATTAATCAGTATTTATCAGTGTGTTTCTGCCATCACGTGCTGCAGAAAACACCACGTCCAAAAACAAAAAAAAGATGCCATGTGCAACAAAAATGAAGGGTAGCTCAGGTATCAGCTCACTTTCTGAATGAACAGTACCCTGAAATTCACGCAATCAGTAAAGGATAAAATAAAAACATAAAACGTTTCTGATAATAAGGTTTAAATTAAATCTTGGAAGAACAGTATTCATAGAGAGACCTTCCTGTTTCCCAAAGGCAGTGAAATACATATGAAGTCCCCTAAAGACACCTGCAAATAAAGTATAACTTCTGAATAGATAGATAGATAGATAGATAGATAGATAGATAGATAGATAGATAGATAGATAGATAGATAGATAGATAGATAGATAGATATGGACTTTATAATGAGCTATACAAGTACAGACCATTTACTATAGATATATTTTAATGTTTTTATACAAAGGCACGGCTTGAGTGACTTTCTAGATTTTGAGGGGCTATTTTGACTTAAATAATATTCATTAATACAAAAAAAACAACAAAAAAACTAAAACGACACACTGTGACGGACTGGCGACCTCTCCATGGTTTGCTATAGACTGCTGGAGATAGGCACCAGCCCTCCATGACGGTAGAAATAGGGTTACAAACTAGGGACGACTATGGCCTGAGTCCCCCAACTGTCACTGGGGGATGGGTTTCTAGTAATATCTTTAATTTGATGCTTCTTTTTTTAGTAAAGAGGTTACCGAAAGAGTTACTCCAAATAAAGAGTAACAATTATTTGTTAGCTATAGACAGTTTGTTGTAAAACACTGCTGCATATAACATAGCAAACAATGAGTAAATTGTAATTAAAAAGAACTTAAGTCATTGCACAGATAAAGGGTGACAGTGGCGTTGGATGTAGAAGTTTGCCCTGAAATCGAAGGATTGACGGTTCAAGCCCCGACTCCGACTTTCAGTGTCAAGACACTTCACCTGCATTTTCTACTGATGGTGGTGGTGCCAGTGTACGGCAGCCCTGCTTCTGTCAGTGAGCCCCAGGGCAGCTGTAGCTTTCCACCATCAGTGTGTGCGTGAATGGGTGAATGAATGTAGTGTAAAGCGCTTTGGTCAAGTCTACTGACTTGAATAAAGGCACTAAATAAGTACATGCCATTTACCATTTACCACAGTTAACTACTTAATGATATGTCTACTGTAATTTACCAGATGGCACTAGCACCTAAGGGTGCATGGTCAGTTTTTGTTAACTTTCTAATTAAGAAGTATATATGCTGTAAATATTTACAAATATTTACTAAATTTTAAATATTGTATGCAGTAACTAGTCTCAAGCAACTGCTCAATGAGAGCTACAAAACAAGCAGCAAAATCATCTGCCTACTCTATGGCATTGAACTTTGTTGATAACTCTCTTTCTTTGATCTCTGAATACTGATTCCATAAAATAAAAAAGAAAGATAAAGAGAAAACACTTATTAAAACTGAGAATTTTTCAAAGCAAATTCAAAGATAGAGTTGATTCCTTCCTGCTATCCTAAT